ATAATTAATATTTTGTTAGGTAGCCCTTAACTTCAATAATACATCGCAGACGCTTAGGCATATTTCCAGTAATTTTTTTTAAGTAATCTAGCGAAATATTCTTCCATTCTACGATCAATCGTTGTTTTAACTCCTCTTTCGAGTTATCGACGTACGACAATTTTTCACCGAGAAGAAGGAAAAACGTATCGAGAAATCGGTCATCTTTTAAAATTAAATAAGAGTATCGTGGCTGATATTGTATGGAGATACAACGATGAATTGGTATTAGAAATAATAAAGGATACGCGTCATCAAATTTACTATCGGCAGCTTTATGAAAACATTTAATCATTGTCTCCTTTTCCTCTTCTAATATATTAATATTTTATTTACCGGTATTATACCGGTATTATACCGAAATACATCTACCGACCTAACATCGTTTTGATAACATGATACCGGCATTCGCACCATTTCATCAATCGAATAGTAATCTAAAAATATCGGTATTTCACCGGTATCCGTAATACCGATTCGGTCTCTGCTCGAAAGAAAAGAAAAAGAATCTCATCTGTATCAACGACAAACACCTCGGTGTGTACCTCGTTTTTACACAGAGACCCAGCGCCGCGAATGCAAAAGCCGCTGGGCCCCTCCGCCTCGGGACAGGGCCCACCTCTCGGCTAACAAACGGACACAGATATCTGGTATCACCGAAGAGCCGCGCGCGGATCGGTTAGGGTTAGGCGGTCGTGCCGGCGCGAAGTCAGTCACTTGATGGTGCGGCTATGACGTGGTAAATTATTTATTCACCGGCGACTGCGGGTGAATAATGGATCCTTCCTTCGCCGCGAATGGCACCGAGAAACGGTTATTGATCACCGAAATATCAAAAGTAGGCGTATCCATCACCGATGGACCACCATACGCTGCGCGTGAACGTGTGCAACTATACCCAACATACGTGCACACGTGAGGAGAGACGGACGGACGGACAGACGGACGGACGGACGGACGGATGGAATTCCCGGCGTGCATCTCAGCGATGCCGGGGCCCTGTTCTCCGACAATAAAATCGATTTTTCATACCGGGCATTTATCATACACCCGCGATAATGGGCGTGTATGGAGATACCGTATAAATATTTCGAGGTAAATAATCGTTAGCTTTCGAGTACCGGATTGCGTGGCGAGAGCATTAATAATATCGGGTGTCCTTTTCACGCGTTCGAGGGAATTGACAGCACGGTAGAATCCTTCGTTACGAATGAGCGCGAACGGACGTGTAGACTGTTGTGTAGTTGAGGCGAGTGCCTCGGCGGCGGCGGTTCCGTGATTGGTAATAAGCGTCGAGATGCTTGTCCGTCGTCGTTTCTCTTCTCTTCAACGTTCTTCGACCCGTTCGCGCGTAGAACGTTTCTCCATCGTCGGATAATCTCGGCTCGGATTGAAAAATTCTTCCGTGTTGGAGAGATGAGCTGTCCCCGGCCAAATTTTGTCAGATCTTGTCAGGAATTTATTGAAAGATTCATTAGAAGAAAAAAAAAAGAACAAATACACAAAAATATAAACTACAACCGATCTTTGAATGAAACACTCTCGTGATACATGAGAAAATACTTCCAATTAACGTCCCCTGCAAATCTCGACAGAAACGCATAAATCTTGATCCTGATCCCAATTGAACGAGATTTGTAAAGAAGAGAGAGAAAGAGAGAGAATGATTAAGGAAGAAAAGCCAAGGCTGGCTAGATTCTAGGGAAGATAGCTATTTAATATATGGGTAACCCAAATGGACGTTTTTTACCGAGATAAGAGCGTCCGTTTGCGAATAGGTTGCCATTGTATCGGTTGAACGACGATCGCTCGACCGTGGGACACTTGTCGTTGATAATTCGCCCCTCGATCTCGACAAGCCATCCGAAAAATTTCGTCGATTGATTGGACAAAGGGGCCACGAAGCGCCTAACAGTGTCCACAAGTGCGTACTTGTCAAGTGAATAGCAACACCCTCCTTTGAAAATCAGCGGGATGCTAATTGCGCCCGCGACCACGTGAAAACCAGAATTCGGTAGCGTTTTAAACGGTAGCGAGCGAGAGATGCGGACCGTGCGTTTCTGAGGACTTTCAGCTCTTTCAAGAGTATGAAGTTTAACATACTACATATGTAGACAAATGGCAGAAATTTTATCGTGCGATCTTACAATTTCTCTTTGATTTTCTGTAATTTTGTTGCAGGAATTTTGCGAGTAAAATAGTAAATATTCAATCATAAATAGTTGAGGGTGAATAATGGAAAGTATCGTCTATTAACCTAACTTACTACATTAACCTAACTTACTTCGTGTCCCATACATTTTCCAAATAGAAAGATTTTCTGTTTATAAAGCGAGTATCGACTTGAAACGACTTCTCTAATAAATCAATTTCATTCTGAAAGATACACTTCACAATAGTTCAAAACAATCATAAAAGCTTCTTCGAAAGATTCTTCTTCTTAGCGATAATGTCAGCATTTCAACAAAACTAGACATCGACTTAATTGCCGAATGCATTACGCTGTAACACTACGCTCGTCAAGCGTTGTTCACCAGCGGGGAACTGCAATAAATCAGTGAGGAACGAGCAATCCGAAGTACCGGAAATAATTCGAACCAGAATAGTTCCCCATCGCCTGTCTATCTACACGCGTACAGAGTTGCGCAAAAGTCTCAGACCTTCTACACTTCTACCTTAATAATTTCTATAAATTCATGCTAACCAATCGTTTCTTTACATGCAGAAAAAACTCTCATTTACTCTTAATAGAACTCTCTAGCTCTTCTAGAAACATTTACCTTGCTCGATTAGCTGTTAAAATTCTTTTTTGCACGGTGCTGTATAGACTGGCGGACTGACTATTACGAAACGTCGAGAGCTCTCGTCGAGATCACGAGAGCTGAGATAGAAGGAAGGCAGAGGAGGCGCTGGTAACAACGTCCGTGACAAATCCGCGTCGATTAATCTCTTTCTCGGCGGACGCGAGCGTGTCCGTTTCTGTTTATTAGCATCGGTAGACACCGGACCGTTTACAAGGTGTAACTATGTGGCCAGGTGGTCGATCGTGAAACGCGACCACTGAAAACCCCCTTGCACCGGCAATGACCCCCAGCTGAGAATTCTCCTGGCTTCTTACTTTTTATTTCTCGCCTCCTACGGCGTTACCTCTTCATCTTGGCGTTGTGCGCCACGCCGACTCTACTTTGGCCCCTCAACCAACATGGATAGAACGAGAGAGAGAGAGAGAGAGAGAGTTATGTTCGAAGATAATTACACGATCGATATGCTAAATATCTCTCGCCTCAATCACGTGAATAAACGGAGGCACGTGGTAAATTGGATTAATCGAGAGATTAGGGTGTCCGCAGGTCTGTTTGTGGAGATCGCGAGTCGGTTTTTGGGAAATCTCGGCACGAGGGTGATTTTAGCGTGATGAGACGATTTTCTTGTTAAATTTGTAGAATAGAAGACTGTAAGAGATCAAATTTTCTACTAAGAATTTTATATTTGCGAATAGTATTGTAACTTTCGCTCGATTTTCTGGCAATTTTTAATTTTTCTAATATTTTTATCTTAGCAGAAATAGCCAGACACCCGTTAAATCGTCTCAGATTAAATCTGATACAGATTTATTGTGCAATTTAAATTGTGATGCATATGGGTTAACGCAATTGGAATTGATAAATACAATGATGTTCAACTTGTCTACGATAAGTGAGCTGAAGTATTTTTCTGTTACAGTGTGAACGTACTGCGAACTTAGATGCAGACATGCGAGAAGTGTGAGTTTAATCTACTAACCCATAAGTCTGGACAGACGGTGCCGACCTAAAGGGGATCGAGGATGAGATACAAACCATGCGAACCCCTCCACCTCGTCCAGAGGTGGACTTAAAGACTTCGGATTCTTATTTCCCCATAAATAATTTTAATGACGCGCCGCGGCAGTTTAGGTATAGGGTGAAGTTATGCCCGGAGCCGTGTGTCTGTAGTCTCAGTCCTCCGTATTGTTATTTATTTATGTTCGTCGCATCTGAGTTACTATCTACGCGCCACATACCGACACTCGCGATCGTGAAAATGCGAAAATGTTACTACATTCGCGATGAACAAGTTCCTTTTCAAGTATCTTTCATATCGACAAAGGTTCTTGATATTTCGTAACTTTCTTTCGAGATGTTTACATTTTTGTACTTGCGTAAATTGTTCGAGATAGGTACTTTGATGGCTTTTAATTGGAAATTTCTTTATGAATATTTAAAAATACAAAAATGCATGCTAGAAGAATATAGATATATAGAATATCTAAAATATCTAAAATAGAACGCAATAGAACTCACAGTTTGTCTGAGCCGTGTTCATTGAAGTAAAATTATAGTTAATGCCCAATTAATCGAGCTTCTTCCTGGTTGAATGTGCTTGTCCTACCACGCAAATGAATATTTTTATCAATTTTTCAAATGTCCTTGTAATAATGGAAAAAATTGGCGAGCACCTACTAAATCAACTTCATTTATATAAACTCTCTATCTACCCCCTGAAGAGGGGATATATAAATGAAATTTTACTATAGATCAGTTGTGTAAAAAGTTCGTTTCTCGGTTTCATCCTTTTTGTTTCACTCAATCTTCGAAACTCCACTTTTCAAAAATCTTTCCTTTCCAGATTCCAGAAAACTTGTCTGTCATGCCAACCAAAGCTGCCTCTCGTCGTAACCTATCGCCAACACGCCAAACAATTATGCTACCCTCTACGAGCCGTCTTCAGAAAAAGATCTTCGAGAATGATCCTTCTTCCTACCACGCTAACCATTCCGCCAATCGAAAAACCCGTAGCATCCCGGGTTCCCGGTGGTAGGGAGAAACTTGTGTGCGTTTGTGCGCGTGGTGTCGGCGCACTTTCATCTCGTTGGGCGGGTTGTGGCTCCGCCAATCGAATTTATCGTAGCAACCGTGCTCAGTGGGATATCAAAGCCACGCCTATATTTTAGCGATACGATAGCACGCAGCAAGTCGCCGCGGAGCCGCCGTAGCTCAGCCGGGACTTGCGTTGTTACACGTCGGGCGCATCGAGTCACGGGCCATGCTGCGCTCCTCGGGCGTAGCTATCGCTTGCTTGCGCGTCGCGTGAACGCGTTTCAACTATCGTGACGTGCTGCGCGATGCATCTGAGATCGCGGAACACGCTCCAGTGATCGATCATCCGAGCTGAGATCGAAGGTGTTCAAGATCAAAAAAGTGCCCGGATCTGTTTCAAGAGACAGCTATGAAGGTACGTCGAAGGGTATTTTGGGGGTGAAACGAAGTTTCAGTGGCGAATCTTGGGAGCATAATCAGTCACAGACACAACTGTAGACTTGCCTACGTGCTGTAGAACGTTTCAGTCTAAGATCTTTGACTGGTTCGTTAGAGAATTCAAAGTTTCTTGACCTATATTGTCAGAGGGCTAGAGTAGAAGTCTAGCATAGAAGCTTAAAAAAGAAAATCAAGCAGCGTACAAAGCTCCCAGTTTGGCGTGATTCACCCACGGCGGGACCATAAAATCCTTAGATTCGTCGCGGCCTGATGAGGTTGATGAGCGTTGGTGGACAGCAGAAAGAAATGAAACGGTGTGAACGTATGGGGAATCCTCGAGCCGGATCAAGCCGGCCACCGTGAGCTTGCTTCCGTCGTGTGGCGAGGCGCGGTCGTCCGGAGTTGCAGGCAGCAAACGAAATAGAGGTGGCGGATTACGGTCGATCGGTCGACGCGATTGTCTTGTCGCGATGTCGATCGCGTGTCACTGCTGCTAACTCGCAGCCGTACGCCGAGTATCGCTGGATCGACTGCACGCGAGCTTTCTACCGATGCATATTCGATGCGCTTTTCCCCCCGTTGTCGTCGGCGCATTCACGCGTGTCGAGGCACGAATCAGAAGCCTGCAGTTGCGAGCGATCGTAAATACCTCGTCTTGAGTCTTGAGATTCAATGAGATTGAACTTTGCACCGAATAATTGTACGAGACGTTATTATTATTGCAAGTTTTTAATCGTTGGCTGGTATCACCAAGTCATAGATAGCTGAGAATAATTCCTACTTGAATCAAGTTGCTACTCTTGAAGGTTTACTCAGAATTCAGGAGTACTTTGGATTTAAAAAAGTATCAGGCAATTCAGTCCAAATCCAAAAGAATTAGCTCAATTTAGCACAGCTGCCAAATGCGCTTTCTGCATCTTTAATCTCCAGTAGAACCGTATCTAGCCGAAACGAATTGTCACATAGTTCCTGATTGAACAGATCTAATGAATATCTAAACAAAAAGTTCTGCTATAAAAATCATAGGAAACGACCAGAATAATCGAACTCCAATTGTGTAAACTGTAAATGCAAAGGCATCCACACACTGTACAATTCGCTGAAAGAACTCTCGGGAACGACAAAGCTGAAGGTAAAAATATGGATGATAGATCACGATTCTAGGAACAGGAACAGGTCGCGATGTCACGGATGCATTGAAGCAAAAAACCACGTGCGCGTTCTTACCGTGTCGCTTACTGTCGTGATTCGTACTGTTCGTCCCCCTGAAAACGCAGCCATATAACTTGGGATCAGGCTGATGCGCCATTTTGCGCCTTACGCCGACAATTTACTGGACCACACACGTACTCACGATGCACGGATCTTGAAAGGTCCGTTTCGCGTACGATCCTTCGCGTGGGACGTGGTCTCATCTCACTGGTATTTACGATTTCACCCCGTGTCTGCGTAGGCATACTTTATAGATATCCATCCGGTAAATACTCGGCGGACGTCGCATTCGTTCTGTATTTCCCTTTCCTCCTCCTCAGTTTTCGGGTAGTCGTGCTCGTCGTAGTAATTAGAAGAATTCTCCTTCCTCGGAGATGTCATTTTTCCACAATTTTAAATAAAGGTTGGACGCTTGAGCAACATTGAGTATTTTTCAAGAAATAGAACAGAGATTTCGATCTAAAGAATGATGTTTTATATTAATCTCTCCCGGAGGAGAAGAAGCGTTTAACGAACGTGCTCGTAGCAATCCATTGTAGATAATTTTCAATAGCATATACATATTTCATTGTTGGTCTAGCTGTGGTTCTACTCGTCTCCATTTTTTGCTGTCTGATTTCTGTAATTAATGTGATCTTGTCGTTAGTTTACCAGCTTTTTTAAAACACGTTATGCGTAAAATGTACTGCTCAAAATGTAAAACGAGATAGAAGAGGATTGAGAAAGATAATAAAACATTCCTAAAAAAGGTTGTTAGAATTTCGAAACACGACAAAGTCTGGCTTCCAAATCACTGGAAGGTGTCGTCGATCCCGTAGATCGTAATTCCGGATGATCCGTTTCGCGAAAGACACTGGTAAAACCGCGTGCCTCTTCTTGTCATTAATCTTGCTTGATCTTCTCAAATCTGCGTTAATTCTGTTTTATCGATCCGGTTCATTCGACGGGTGTTTCGCTATCTATCGTCGATTTGAAACATTTGGTTTTTGTCGTATAGAGTCAGACTTTCATTTTTTAAAAATCGAGTGAAATTGATTCACTGGATTTATTACAAAAAATTTATTTATCTACGTTGGAAAAAAGACTGAACAGATGTTGCTGGCAAAGATACGTCGTTGTTAAGTATAATTATCACAGAGGTATAAAATAGTATTATAAATCACGATGAGAATGTCATAAATCAAACGAGAAAATAGCTACTAGACAAAGTGCTTAGTTTTTGCTAAAAATATTTGTTGGTCGATTAACTTGTTGCAGTTTTGTTCTTCGTTAATGTAGCATAAGGATATTGAAGGCTATTTTAAGCTTTGAAAGAAAGTATCGAAATAATCGTGCTACCGCGTTGACAATCAACTCGTGACTATTTTTCAGAAATCTTAGAAGTGTATTATACAGGAAGGTACATTAATCTTGCGAGAATAAAATTCTTGATTATAAAGAATTGTACAGTTAGAATCCATTACCGTTTGAGGAACTACCAACGGTACCATGTAGAAGAGACTTCAACAGGAAATGTTTACAGACCAGATCGCGGTTGTTTATGCAAATTCATATATTTCGTAATAAAAAATTTCCAAACGAGAAATCTGTCTCGCCGATACTTCATATTTACAGTCATATGTGAAGTCTTAAAATTTCTTTCTCTTACTAAAGTTGAATTATTGTTATTATTATTATTTGGAATGAACTTGGACTAAATTTAGGCTTAAAAAAAAAAAAACGGAGTGAAATAAAGGAAGAGATTGTATAAGAAAAATTCTCTAGAAAAGTAAAAAGAAGTGCGCACATAATTCCCATGGTCAATGTGCTCGTCGAAATCGAAAGAAAGAAAGAAAGAAAGAAAGAAAGAAAGAAGGAAGGAACGAAGCGAAGGGAACCGACACGGCGAACTCTGGATCGAGATAATAAATTGATTCGACGTGGCCAAGGAAACGCGTCACATTAACATACGTTTGCGTTTTATTAATAGAGTGCCAGAAGTGTGGCTCGATTCGTTTTGCTTCTACAACGCTATCGCGATATATTATCGGCCCTATTTCTCACGTCGATTTTTTTCCCTCTTAATTCCACGGAATACACACTTTGTCATCGACCGGCCGACGTTTCTTTCGCGCGGTCGTGGCGAAATAAAATCGTTCCCTCGATTAGCATAACCATTACACGTACCAGCGTACGACAGAACACACACTCCACGAAAAGATATCTTAAGAGTCTTAGATCGGCGACCTACAGTTTTCACTTACAAAGCGAAATTTTACAATCCATGTACTACACTCCAGTAATCTTTCTCTTCTAGTTATTATCCAGTAAATGACTCCAGCTAATCGCGACTAAACTAACCGTTCCCTCGTTCGTTCACAATCGCGTTGTACACGTAGAATAGGCAGAGAAAAGGCGAGGGAAATGGTGAAAAGCCGACGTGTACTACATTGTGATCGCGCGAGGACGAGGAATCGGATGGCGATTTAAATAGATTTCGAGTGGCTTCCATGGAAGACGTATTATACCTGCGGGGGATCGTTTCACCCTCTGGGTCACGGTGTCTTTACGGTGGGGAGGACGATATTTTTTTTTTTCTACAAAGGCGTGAAGAGGCTCGTGCCTTTTGGACGCCACTCGAGAAACCGCTGGAAACACACAAAAACCCCCGGTCGTCCATTATTTTCCGTGGAAAACGTTCTTTCTCTTCTCCTCTCTCTTTTTCCCTCTTCTCACGCGTGTGTACGTTTGTCTCGTTCTACTTCGAGCGGGTAGAGAGTATATATATCGTTTGAAAGAGCGAGCCGAAAGAAGGATGCTCCGTAGTCGGCCACTTTGTCAACTTGTCACCTGGACGACGCGAGAGAAAACGAACCGAGAAACCCCTCTCGGGGTATCCGAAGGGAACGACGATCGTTCTTGTTCGCACCAGGAAGTCTTCGCATCTTTTCCTCTTCCTCGAGATCTTTCTTTCTTCTTATTCTTTTTTTTTTTCCTTTTTTAGTTTTTCGATTGGTCGGAAAGGATGCGGCTGTTTGATTTTAAAAGTTGCAACGTTGCTCTTTGATTTTTGGATTGGTTTGATGCTTGATTAATTGGGTTAATCGAGATGGGTCATTTTCGGAGAGGGTGGTAATAATAATTATCGGAGCTCGAGTAACTCAAAGAGTTGTTATCTTCGATAGTGTCAACCTCAAAAGTTCAGAATACAAATCTTAACAAGCTACCAATTAATTACCAAGTCGGGAATTAAAGAGTTACTATCAAGTCGAGAGTCAGAGAAATCCAAGTCCATCGAAAGTCGACTCTTCATTCAGCGACAAAAAGAAATATCAAAAAAAGAAAAGAAAAAGAAGAAAAAGGCTCCTCAGAGTCTCTCCATTGTTGGCCACGGGGGAACGAGTATTATCGTTATTACCTATGTCGAGTGACATTGGCCAGGAGACATCGAGCCAGACAGGCCGGTCGCAAGGGAAACGAGAAGAAGAAGTATCGATTTCAATGGACCACGGTGTCGCGGTGCCCGAAAAGTGACACGAAGCCGCGAATACCGTAGGAAACGACGCGTAGCCGGACCCCCGTAGGACCTCCCGTCGACAGGCTTTCAAAGTTTGAAAGTCATACCCTCCGATGGTGTGTGCCTTCCTCGTCGTCGACAAGAGGGGACCGAAAGCGAAACCACTCGAGAGAGGCAAGAATGGGGGCCCCATGGCCATTCTCAATAGAGGCGTGTACAAACGCCGATGTGCGATGCCTCGCTGCGAAACCGTTCACCGATCTACCTTTGTGTAAATAAGGCAATAAGGCGAACCAAACGGGATTATTCTTTGCTTAAGTCTACAGATCGGATTACGAAAGATTGAGAGAGAGAGAGAGAGAGAGAAAGAGAGAGAGAGAAAGAGAGAGCGAGAAAGAGAGAGCCTTTTTTGACTGTATGTATGTATGTATGTATGTATCGGATATTGAGTCTCTTTGGATAATCGAAAATATTTGATTGTCGTTTTTAGATAGGGAGGAAAGAGTTGTTGGGGATTTTTGACAGTTTCTAGATTAGGAGGTCAGCTGAAACAGAGTTCTAGAGAGATGATTTCCAAGTTAGGATTGAGCTAGAGTATTCTAAGGAATATTTCAACTGATTTACTTAAAAATGTGCAAAAAGTTAAGTTAAAAAGCTAAGAAGAACCGCGTATCCACGGGCAGAAACGCCGAAAGGAGAGAAAAATTGAAATTTAAAGAGCAACGATCGTCGGATTGTTGCCCCTTAGTAGAAAGGCCAGCTTCAAAAGTATCATTCTCATAATAAACCCCGAAAATCACGCCCCTGACAGGCCGTGCGACCGCAGAAAGCAAGATTCAGAATAGTCGTGCCGGGTTAGGTACAAATGGGAGGGTATGTCGGTTCACCGTGGCTCATGGGGTTGGCCCTATGCCTCTCCATGATGGGCACCACATGCGGAAACCTTACAACACGCGTGTTCTCTCGAGCGTTAGGTGTTATATAGGTGTAGAGGTAGCACCTACGAGGCTTGCAGGTATTACGTTACAATGGCATTATGTAACTCCCATACGCCGGCATTGTGCAGCCCGTTGTGACGTATGGTTAACCACCAACCATAACCAACCAAATGTTCGCACGTTCTAACTGTGGAAAGATCTTGGTGTGTGTGTGATTCTGTGTATTGTGCGTGAAAGTATCGATGATGTTCTGGAAGCTGAAGATATATAGAAGTGATGTTTGAGAGAACAGGAAGACTATAGTTTGAAAAATCGTAGATAAATAGAGAAGCTCTGATAATTACAAATTGGAAAAATTTAAAAAAAAAATCCAGTATTTTTAATAGTTCCTGCAAAGAATATAAATTTAATTATTCTTATGCAAAAATTCAAAGTAAAATTTTGGAAGAGGTTGAATTTCAATGAGCATGAAGCTTTTACGCCTTTGAATCCGCCGCGCCACGAAGCCTTCGCGAGCTTTTTGATATTGTGACGCATATATTAGACTAATAGCCGAAAGGAGTCTAATCCTCCGTTTTACGATCCCGCCTCGCATGCAACCGTGGCTCGTTATTGTCACCTATAACTCTCTCTTTGCCGGGCCAACCGCTAACTTGTGGGTGTGGGAGTCGTCGTGACACACGAATGAACCAGTCGAAACGATACGGCCAGTAATATTTTAGCCGCGGATTTATTACGACGGAAGAAAAAGGCCTAAAGCTGAAAGATTAACGAGCCACTCGCCATCAGGTTTGCTCTTAAGTTGCGCTTATGCGAGCAAACCTGTAACTCTAACGTTGCCAAAACCATTGTTTCGGCGCACGATCTGCGAACGAACGACGCAGATAATCGTATTTACATGCGACTTTTCCCAAAACGCTTTCAAGAATCACTTTACGAAATACACTAAACGCGCAGCTCAAACCCTCCACGACCCCTCGTACGTAAGTTTATTTACACGGCACGCCCCGCTCGTTGAAAAATCATTTAGCTCGTAGCATTTTGTATCGCGGATAGAATCGTGAGTACGACACGAGCAGTCGTAACAAGACCGTCGACACAATGAGAGAGAGACGCTGGAAGGCGGCTGGACGCCGCCACGGTTTGCCCATTTAAGAGCGTCCCTAAGTATTCCAGCCCCTGCAGAACCATCACGGGGATGTTATACCGGAGTGGGCTGGCCACATATATTACACCGGTGCTCGTAGAACTTGCGTGTACCACACAATAACCGATCTGTACACGCACGAGGGCACGTCGCCACGTTGAAAGGGAACGTCGAGACTTCACGAGGGCAGAGGGTTCGTGATCACCTTCCGAAGATCGGTGGTTATGTTGGCAACGGTGTAACGCTTCGCTGCAGGGTGCACCTTTTCGCTTGACCAGCTGCCGAGCCAAACTGCGCGAGAGTTTGGTAAACGGAGAATTGGCGAAATTATCGACGATTAAAGCGTATCGCGTATATTTTTAATGACAAGTAGCAGAGTTTGTTTGCTTGTACCTAGGATCATCACGCGTTTTATCGTAAGTTTTGTCCATTTTTGAAAGAAAGAACGAACCGTCGGTTAGCCTTCACGCCTCGCGCGATCGTTCGACACGTAGGAAAAAAAGATTAGCAATGCCGTAACGAAGTCAACTATTCCCCTGTTAACTTTTATACCGCGAACGGTATATTGTGTCACCCTACCCCGTACGAAATTCAACTATCCACAAACCGAACTATCGGATGTTCTTGTCACGAAAGCTATGGCGCGTTTGATGGATGCGTGTGCCTCGATCAATCTGTTTCAATGCAGTTTGCTGCGACCCCCCTCTGTTCGTGTATCCTTTCCTCCCTTCCACGCTTCAGAATCTTTCGCGTTGAAAACATTTTATATATTCCGATTGTGACACTTGGTCTCCTCACCCCTTGAATTAACAATCCTTGTCTACAGAGTTTCTATTTCTTAACGTAACAAATATTTTTCTTTCCATTTAAATTTAATTTCAAACTTATTTTCGTTTCCATTGAGATCTATACAACATTTTCGATGATGAAATGATTGCAGACAGAAGTGGAAGATATGGCGAGCAACGGCGTGTGCGAGGGCACTGGTCCGAATCTCGCGGCAGGCGAAAACACCAGCGGTCTGATAGGGCCGGAAATGTCGCCAAGCGTGATGGAGTGCGGCGGCTGTGGAGAACGCGTCCGCGAGCGCACTGTCCTCTGCGTCGGCGGTCGAACTTGGCACTCGCGGTGCTTGAGGTGTTGTGCTTGTGCCAGGCCTCTACACGACCAGCATTCCTGCTTCCTCAAAGGCATGAGACTTTACTGCAGGCACGACTACGCTCTGTAAGTTGAGAAATTAATTCACTCGGCCAGTTCCGTACTTCAACAAATGCCTAATTTAACACACAGACTGCGGAGGTTCGTGCACTTTTTCAGGAAATTAAACGTCTCTTTCAATCACTGTGTTCAGAAGAATTAAAAATTATTGCACAAACATCCGCAGTCTGATAATAATTTACCTTTTTAATAAAACAACGATCATTTCTAACGCGAGGCAAGAGTAAATATAGCGTTCAATCTTGGCATAGAATACACCATCTCTGCGGAGTGGAGTTCTGATAAAACTCTCGTAGACAGACAGAGATAGTTAGATATGACAGACTACAAACGAATTCCAGTAGCCAGAAACGCTCTCACGTTCGAAAAAAACAAAAATTCTGTCGCGCGTTCGATTGGACAATAAAGATATCAAATTTTATCAGGCGAATAGCTACAACACTTTGGTACGTGGCTGCCGTGGAAGCAAAACGACATACCACGAAACGATAAATCGCGGCTCGTAATTGCCACCTCGTCGTCAAAGATCTACGTTTCCGTGTAGCCGCAATTTAGCGGATCGAGGGAGATTCAATTATTGCGATAACGGGCAAACGAGAAAGTAAACGGGCGGTCTGTTATGTGTAACATTCAAATGCGTGTTGATCTATCGGTAGAATAATAAACCGTGGTGGAAAAATTGGCGTGCCGTGTTTGCATTATCAGTGCAATAAATAACAATTGCAACGTTGGCAGCGTTGAGGAGAGTTCTCAATCGATCCCCCGGCTAGAAGTCTCGCCTTCGCGACAATCGCGAAAATGACTTTACCGATCGATCGCTGATTGCAAGTCAACGTTAACGTTTCTATACATTAGCTGAGATTTTATTGGGTGTGAATTAAGTTGTTGCGCCGATTGCTAAGTTGGAATTTATCGACGGTTCGCTGCGAATTTTTTACCGTGCTTTCATTGAAATTTACTACGTTTCGGTTCTGCGATATGAAAAATTCTGTCGTATCTCATTCAGTTGGAAAGTAACAGAGAAAGTAACAGGAAATTCTTTGAAAATCCTTAGAAAAGAGCGGTACCTGTCGCACGGTTTCGTTCAAGAAAAATTCAATTAGTCTCCCCCTATTTACTTACACAGCGTAAAGACACGTTGTAGCGGTATCGAGGGCGGTTTGTTTCGAATATTTTCGTAGGATGGCCAAGAAACGAAAAAGAAGCTCGGCAGTGACTGGCCGATTGTTCGCGAAAGAATTCGAATCGAACGCTTTCTTCAACGTGTTTATCCACGTGTCAATCAACTGGCTGGCTTCGGTCACCTGGCTATTGCACCGTGGCCTGTCTAAACCACAGTGGGTACATATCGTGATATCCGATCGTGACGAGCGACCGGTATCGCTGTCTATATTATCGAACGCGGAAATCAATGTAAATCCTCCGAAGAAAGGAAATGAGAAACGATAAAGTGAATCCATTGCGCGTCGTTTATTACCGTACTGCGATTCTTTTTTTTTTTTTTCTTCAATTCTCATTCTCCTACAATTATTAGAAGAGAAGAGTTGTCAGTAACTAGACTTTAGACTAGTATCGTTAGATATTTTCTATAATTCTACAAAGTTGTGATCTGTCCAATAATCGTTTGCTCTGAAATTATTTACTGATCGATGCAACACCTATTTATGGAAAGACCAGCGATCGCGTATTATATCAATGGAGTATTAATTAGGTCACATTGTATCAACACTTGAATGACGAATCGTGAACGAAGGGATCTCGAAGGCAGAGACGGTGTCCTCGATTGTCGAAGGAGCCGCGGTACAGTTTCCGATCATTTATCACGGCGTGCGGAGCGTAAATCGAAAATAGTGGCTTGGTCTCTTCCCGCGTCGGTTGTCGACGTGTCTACGGGTCGTGGATCCTGCCGACTGGGTCATCGTAAGCCAGCATTACGAGGCGAAAAGCGTCAGTCGAAAAAAATTACGCGGCAGATTCCTCGGGACCTCCCGCATACACGCGCGACTTTGACCCTCGGAAAGACAGACGCGCCACGAAAAACGTCCAACAACTGTTCATCACAAGGGAATGCCGACTCTTTCTTGCCGAAACTCTTTACCATTTTTCTCGTTTCTTTCTTTTTCATTCATTCATTCATTCATTTATTTCTCGTCTCTACTTTGAATATTTCAAGTATTTTTTCTTTTTTTGTATTTTTTTTTTTTTTTTTTTATTTTTTTTTTTTTTTTTTTTTTTTTTTTTTTTTTTTTTTTGATAATGGAATTTAATCCTCGACGAAGAGAAAAAACAACGGGTGATTCTGTAAGAAGGGATTAATTTACGGTGTTTCCGAGTGGAATGCATCTCGTCAGGATAGGATCTGCATCGGTTTATCACAAAAGAAAACTGACAATCGCCCGCTCAAAATTCAAATCCCTTCCTAGAGAGATGGGCGTGGGCGAGACGAGTTGCTGTTACAAAGCACGAACGAATTAGTGCTTCGCCGAGAGACAATAGGATTAAAGCGCCTTCTTTCTCTCGTCTTTCAGATGTTCGTCGTTGTGCATTGCAAATGCACGTTCTTCTTCTTCTTCTTTCCTATTAAATCGCAGGAGCTGACGAGACGACGTTACGTTAGAAAGTCGTACGTGTGGATTTTGAAGAATTCAAAGGGAAGACTTTTTGATTCAAGCATGATCACGCTGATTCGTATTCAATAGCTCGTCCGTCACGTATGGAGAAATTGTCAGATGCGTTGATCCGTTTAAAACAGAAACCGTTGTTACGAAAAATATCCGTAGTAAGACGATAATTTAAACGAAGCGGAGCGAATATTTTTTTCTTTTCTCTCTTCTAATTTCTTCAGCTTCACGAAACTTCGCAAACTTCCACGGTCCGCTAATTAAACTCCAACAGCCTAGCCACCCTTTCACTAGTCACCATCTCTCCGGCCGTTCGCCGGATATATACAATCCTAAAAACGAAACGGTGCAGCGAATGTCGACAACGAAATCCTCACGCGAGTTCGTGTTGCTCGTTTTTCCCCGTTCGCCGTTCAACATCCTCTCTCTCGAAAGGCCGCTGGTACCACGTAGCCAACTAGCTACGAGGCGGAGCGAGGCAGAGGGGACTTTTTCTCAACCACAGGGGAAGAAGCTAGGCCCCGTGGTGTAAACGGTAGCCGTGTAGCGTGCAAGACACGAGCATGCGACACGACACACGCACGCACGGCCCCGGATGAATGGCTGGAAAGGTGGGTGTTACGGGTGCACCGGGTGAGCCAACAACCCGCCGGAACGTCCTCGGGGCTTAACGACAAGCAGCAAGCGGGGTCCGGTGTGTCCGGTGTGGTCGCTAGTGTGCGCCACGACCGGTAATTAAACAACGACTAGCGGCCATTAGCCCATTATCATATTCATGAACACGGAAAGTGCATCCCGATTCCTCGTCCGGTTCCTCCGGAGCGGAGCCTAGGCCCTGTTTATACGGTCTGTGTTCGCGGTGCAGTCGCTTCTCGGTCCCTCTTCTCGCGGGGATATCTTATGGGGCCACGCGACTACCCCGGTGGCCCCACCACCTTATTTCGTTACAGAGAAAGTAACGAGTAAGTGTAGTGAATGCCGGACGAGACCAACTGGTAGGCTACGAGTGTGTGTGCGCGTGTGTGTGTGTCGAACGATGTTGCTATTCGTGGGATTAAGAGAGCGAGAGCGAGCAGATATTTGCACGCTTAGGCTCCACGAGTGTAGAGATGCTAATGGAGATGAATTACGAATGGTAGCGAGTACGCGAAGAGACGGAAATGTAGCGGAGGTGTTTGTCCGGTTGGTAATTTTAAAGAAACTTTTCCGGAATAGAAATGGATCCGGCGAGAAACGATGGTCGATCGAGTTTGGTAGCCACGGAGGAGTATGAATGTGCAATAATGGCAATTCGTTATAAATGAAACCAGCACAGTGATGTTTCTTTCTTCTACTTCTGGCACATTCGTTTCTCCAATAGCAAGTTATATACTTCGAATTAAAATGAAAGACGATGAATGAAGATGACCATTGTAGGAAGAAATCGTAAAAGTAAGAGAGTATTTGGACATGAGTGGAAGAGTCGAGAGATGCACACCATAAAAGATTGCTTTCCAAGAAGAGAGATTTCTCTTCTCTCGACCGCTTTCTTCTGTTGTTCCGTGCCTTTCTTCGCAACGCGCTTTCTACAATTTTCTTCCATCTTTTTCACATTTACCTTACGCCTTTACTTGTTACGCCTTTCACTCGTGTCTGTCTCTTCTTGAACACCGCATCAATCTATTTTTCGATAGTCGCTTGCAAAACGGAACTAGCAGCGATCCGATTCAATTAACTAAGTCCACCTCAAACTACGCCCTACGTTAAAACATTCCGTCCGAACGAAATAATTTCAAGCGGATCGCGCGTGTTTACCATTATCGAACATTCCAACAAGACGCGAAATTATCATACGCGAAGCGTAAGATCGGTCGTGGAGAGTTGGCAAAAAAAAAAAAAAAATAAATAAATAAATAAAAAAAATCGTCGAGCGGCGTACGATTTCGCACGGTTGCGAGTCGGGATTATCAATGGTTCGCGGGCATCGGCAATGGCCGCTCCGCAGAAATAATTCGTACATGGAAGAGCGGCGGAGCACTCGGCAGGAACGGTCTTAGATAACGCGTCGCGCACGAACGCACGTTTACCTGGAACAAGCCAGCCTGGAGTACCGGTCGGCCCGGTGACAAATAAATGACTACGCCGTGCACCCCGAAGCGCGAGCTCCGACCATCCGGGAGTATGTTTGCGTGTATGTAAACTCGCGCGCGCTCGCCGCGTCGCAGCGCGCACCGTGCTGAAAAAAGGAGTAATAAATAAAGGGAGGAAGCGTAAAAAGGAGAAACGAGAGAGCCGCGCGAGATAAGAACGAAGGGCCGGAGAACAGATAGAGAACGAGAGAAGAGGTGTGGATCGAGGAGCGAGCAGGGGGTGGAATTTTTGCCGAATGGCAAATGGACGTAATAATTGAAAACACTGTTAATTCAAACGTTTCTTCCTTGTGTTAGTTCGCAGTCTGTTCGAGTTTGTAATTTGAACGCAGAATATTGCATTAATTTGATTGCAGAAGAACATATGAAATATCAAACGCGAAACAATTTCACACGATACTTTTACTTGTAAAATGTAACGATATTTTTATCACTGGAATGATAAAAGTTTTATCTAGCGTAAAAATCCATGGCAACATTGACAGTGATATTAATGAACGTTATAATTCTTCCCTCAACTCTTCTCTGGACGAAGTTGATCGTTCAGGAAATTCAGGACTAGCGATTTTTCCGACGAAGAGCGCATTATCGACAGCTGAACGTTGGAACACGCGAGCTGGAACACCAGAGGTGGAGGTATCATTGACGGGAAATGTTTTCTTTAGCGGTTGGCAGGGAACGCGTTCGTTAGAATCGGAGGAAGTTAAATCGCTGAGAAGCGGAGCTACCCATCGTTGAATTTATTGGCGCCATTGCCGCAGGTGGCCGCGTGCTGCGTGCCTGCGAATTCTTTACGACCGCTTCGCATTTCCCGGCATGCCACCGCCTCGTTATTCACCTCGATCTCTCTCTCTCTCTCTCTCTCTTTTCTCATAGAAAAATTCCACGTTCTTCGCTTATTCTTCTCGAGCTGCGTTATATAAATAAATTTAATAGAGAAGAAGGAACTTTTCTCGGATCGATTTTTATTTAAAATACAAAGTTGAAAAGCGCGGAGCTTTACTTATTATCGTAGAATTGGAATAAGGAATACAATTAACCGAAGTAATCCTTATCTAGGACTTTCGGAGCGAAATGTGCCAAGTGTGGCCGAAGCGTGGGTGCTGGTGATTGGGTAAGAAGAGCCAGAGAGAGGGTGTATCACCTGGCCTGTTTCGCCTGTGACGCCTGTTCTCGTCAACTTTCCACTGGCGAACAATTCGCTCTCTTAGACGCCAGACTGCTCTGCAAAGCTCACTACTTGGACGTCGTCGAAGGCAACAACACTTCTTCCGATGGTGAGACTATGCAGACATTTCATTATATTACCACGACCAATACATGGTGGTTGCCAAAATGAAATTCTTCCTATACATACAGTGATAGATATTTTAGATATTTGTAGTCTACAAAATGATTACGTATTTGTAATTTTAGTTACTCCGTAGCTCAATAATTTTGGCAGTCACTATGCAACTTCATACTCTGAAATATTAGGGAAACAAAGTCTCGAAATGCAAAGATGAAGGGAAAGATTGAGAGCGCGAGGAAAGGTGGAATAGCGTCTAATTGGTACTTTCGCAGAAGGCGGTGACTCGGAGAGCGGGCACAAGAGCGGTAACAAGGCGAAGAGAGTGCGAACCACGTTCACGGAGGAACAGCTCTCCGTTCTCCAAGCGAATTTCCAACTGGACAGCAATCCCGATGGCCAAGACCTCGAGAGGATAGCGCATGTAACCGGACTCAGCAAAAGAGTTACGCAGGTTTGGTTCCAGAATTCTAGGGCAAGGCAGAAGAAGCATCTGCACACGGGCAAAATGAAAGGGCAACATGGTACTTCTTGCGTTTGTCTTTCTTTCACCGATATCTGTCCGGTTTAGAGCTCTTTAGTCACAAAGCGAAATTTCTATTCTTTTCTTTTTCCTTTCTCCATTTTCTTTTTTTTTTTTTTCTTTCTTTCTTGCGTTTATTTCGTTGGTGCCGTATCATTTGGGGAACAAACAAATTCGAAATTTTAGAGACGTATTTGGAATTGTATCGAATCGCAAGTTTATATTCTAAAATCTCTCGTCTCAACTTCGTTTCTGTTCTGTAGTACATTTATAAAAATATTAATTTAGTCTATTGTTCCAGAACAATTCTAGTATTTCGTTCTGTTATTTTAGTCAGTGCCAAATATCTTCATAAAATGAAAAAAAAAAAAAATAAAAAAATAAAAAGACAGGCTCGGAAGTTCTGCTTTTAAAAGTTAAATATCTTTATACACGATCGTACGTGGATCACCATATTCAGAATACCAAAAGATCATCGTAGTCTAAAGTGAAAGAAACGTCGTTTGCTGTTGCAGTTCATCAATCACCACCGAATTCTACCGCGTCCACGGGCGATTTCAGTCGACACATCAATTTACATCTGACGTATTCGTTTCAACAGCAACATCATCATGGCCAACAACCGCCGCAACTAAGTCCGGCTACGTGCAAGAGTCCAACGCCATCCCTTTATCATAATCATGGTGAGAATTTCAGAAATTTGGTCTGCATGTTTAGAAAATCTGTCGCATGAATCGTTGGTTCTCTTTCAGTATAGCAATCTTCACAGAGTATTTTCAATATTTTTTTTAATCGAATTATTAAAATCATAGTAAAAGTATAGAAGATTCTTTTTGGGAATGTTTTAATAATAAAAAAACTGGTTAACTCTTTGCTGTTCAAATTTTTGAATTATTAGCGAAATTTGTCAAGCTTTCAAGATTGAATTCAGGATTAACATTCGACGTTTGATATTTAAATTTGAAAATGATAAATTTCAGTCAGAGTTACTTAAATTTTAATATTAATTTCGTTATCCAACTATTTTTAACATTCAAATCCAGCAGTAAATTATTCGATGATGAGTTCAAATTTCAAAATAAATTTTCACTCGATATTATCAAACGTAGAACAAACGGCAACGGGTTAATACATTTCCTAATTCACTATGAAATAATCTTTAAAATTCAAAACTTAACGCAAGTGATTGAAATTTTTGCCACATGCCAATGGACGATACAAAGTTTTGCTTTGAAAAGGTCTACTCTCTATCGCAACACCGTCCACTCTGTCTTCAGGCTCGGAACAATCGATGGACGAACTCTCGCAAGACTCGATGATGTTGTCGATGCCGAACGAGGTTTAATCGCCGCTGGATTTAGCCGTACATTGTAAATAATTCTTTATTTAATCTTAAGATCTTTCCTTTCTCTTTCTTTCTACGCGTCGTTCCTTTCCGACAGTTTACTCGCGTTGCTGAAACGTATTATTATTATTATATATAGGTATATATGTGTACCGAATGTTTTCTATGATTTAATACAAAATCCGCCCACGAAATCGTTGTTAACCTAATAAGATTACCGGCAGAAAAAGAAAAAAAGAAAAAAAAAAAGAAAAAAATATCGTAGAGACGACAACTTTTTAAGACTGGATGGCAGCACAGCTCTCTCGCACTGGATGTTAAGCTTATTAAAAATAAGTGGCTACACTCGATGTTCCATGTTGCGCATCTGACGTGGAAACAAGTTGCGAATATTTCCGTAGAGTGATAGGTGAACGAATATCCTTCACGGTCCTAAAAGAAGCGATAAATGTAATTTTTCCTTCTTTTTTTGGAGAGAACAGAATGTGAGAAGTAGTTGTCCTCGGTTAGATTGTTCCGTGGAATCACCTGATGTAATCAGGCTAGGCGTTTTAACACGAAACGTATAAGATCGAATATAGATATGATTAGTATAAAGGAGAAATTCGAGTCGTCCGGTGTCCCCGGGACCTTGTGGAGACACGAGTTGTCTGATACCTCGGGGAACATCAGAAAGCAATGTTCCGAATGAAAGTATCTTTTACAGTGTTTAGGTAATTAATTGTGTAATTGTAAGAGGATTATTATTTAATATACATGTACTGTGATGTAAATATTGTAAACTAAGTGTATATATACATATATATACACACACAGACACAATATAAAATGTTGCACATATTTATTCGTTTCCATCGTCAATTTCCCGCTTTGTGAGAGTGTGTGTTTGAAAGTGTCATTAGTTTGGATCACAGAAGTCTGTTGGAAATGAGGAATTTTTAGAGATTGAGGAATTTGGTAATTCAGTATTTTCAGAACTCCAAATTTTCAAATTTCGAGGCTTTGGCATTTTTCTAGATCTTTTAATTTCTTAGATTCTTGGGTTTTTAGGTCCTAAGTTCTCGAGTTCTTTTTGTTACTTTCGCATTAATTGTTTTGGAAATTTAGTCGTTCAGTAATTTTGGGACTTTAGAATCTCCGGATTCTGAAATTTTAGAACTCCAATTTTTTTGAGTTTCCTTGGATCCTTTTAGGCTCTTTTGAACTTTGAGACTCTAGATCTTTGTGGTGAAAATTATCACTTTTCAGTAGAAAAAAGAAGGGAGAAAAAAATATTAGGGTTGAAAGTAATAATGCGTGTTTAACAGTAAAAGACATTTTTATTATTAACAGTACGGTTTACAATATTGCAGTAATGTGTGTACAGCATAGGGGAAAGGGACAATATCAAATATTCATGCACGATTTCCTTCAGATTTATGTACAAAAGCTACAGGATACGTCTATATACAATTTTATTTTCAAAATTAAATACTTCGTAGGAAATATTTTGAAATATTTCAAAAGCTATCATGTGCACAATAAAATTCATAAAATAATTATTAATTGTGTGAAATGAGATTTTTTTCAAAATTGTAATTCTTCTTCTCGATTGCACTTTTGCCAGGTATAGTGTTTGATCAATTAAAATAATTGCAAAACGCAAATATAAATTATCATTGAAATAAATAATCGTCATTTCGTCTATTCGTATTACACTATAGAATCCTAATCTATTCGTAGTATCACCTTTACCTGTCGCGTTGCTTTAAACAATTTCGTTTTTGGTATCTACAAGAAAGTCTCAATTATTGAAGATTTTCTTTCATTTAGAATTCAAAGAGAGTCCATCTTTTCTCATACATACATCTTCTTCAGAATTGAAATTCTAAATTCTTCAAATAATTGAAACTATATTGACGAAGAGACTAAATTGAAATTCGAAAGTAATAACCACCGTTTTCACGAATACCTTCGGTACAGAGGTTCTTCGACAAAGTTACCCTGTTTGATGACAGAATTGAGCTTGAAGATGATTGGGTGTGGTTGGTGTTAGAGGAGTGAGAGGTGTTAGTGGACTGCCAGGACTTTCGCTTCCTGCACTGCCACCCTGATATCCTCCTAAATAGGCACCTACCATATTTACGCTGGTAGAATACAAGTCTCCGGGATGATGTTGTATCGGTGGCGAATGATGCACTAAATAAAAAAAATCAATTCCTCCTTTTACGAATGAGAATACAAAGGATAATTAAAAAGACAATTTTCGTCTTCTTCAATCCCAGTAATATTGTAACTGGAGCGCGGATTTTTATACACTTAAAAACTTGGACGAATGCGTGTGTAAAAATATATAAAAGATGGAAAGATATAATACATTCAAAAAAATAAATAAATGAGCAGTTTAATAAATATAAGACATCCAAAGAATAAACGGAACAAATGAGTTTCATTTTTCTTAACCGCACAAAAATCCGCACTCAAATTATAATATCATAAACTAGCTAGACAGCCCCATTGATATACGAATCTAAATCTCTCAAATAGCGAAACGTTTCAATTATTCTTTTCTGTTAATTAATCTCATCATCCTCTGATAATGAACCGTCTGTATGATATTCAAATTTACGTTTTCTCTTTCTACTCACTTTGCGTTTTGATCTTTCCACTGTGCTTCTTCTGTCTGGCCCTCGAGTTTTGAAACCAGACCTGCGTCACCCGTTTGCTTAGACCGGTGACATGAGCAATTCTTTCGAGATCCTGGCCATCGGGATTGCTGTCTATTTGAAAGTTCGCCTGCAAAACCGACAGTTGCTCCTCCGTGAACGTCGTCCTCACCCTTTTCGTCTTGCTACCCTTGCCGCCGTGTTCCGAGTCGCAATCCTCCGAGGACGAGGTATTGTTTCCCTCCACCACGTCGAGATAGTGAGCCTTGCAGAGTAATCTGGCGTCTAACAGAGCGAATTGTTCGCCAGTGGAAAGTTGACGAGAACAGGCGTCACAGGCGAAACAGGCCAGGTGATACACCCTCTCTCGGGCTCTTCTTACCCAGTCGCCAGCACCCACGCTTCGGCCGCACTTGGCACATTTCGCTCCAAACGTTCTGAAATTGAGAGAAAGATAGAAAAAGAGATTAAATTATTGAAATTCTTTCGTTTCATTCATTATCAATGCAAATTCAGTTAATGATTAATAATTGACAATCGACTGCTATACGAGTTTTATTCATTTTATCGTAATATTTGAAATTTCGTTAAACTTTTATGTTATTAATTTTTATCTAACTCGCTTTCGTATCGTCGACGATTTAAAGGAAAAAGCAGTCTCTCAAACCTCGCGAAAAGCAAGAATTTAAAGAGAAGGAGGACGAAAGTGCTATTTTGGTCGAAGCTGCAGGTTCATTCAGGACCTCCGTGTACGAGAATCCGATGGTCCTGTCCTCATTAACATACTACTCGGCCACTGCGTGTCCCTTGAAGCGCGTCCGCGAAGCGGTTTAAGGGTCGCTCAACCTCTCGCGATTCGTCCGCTAGATTACGTCCAGATTATCTGGACGTCTCAGTCCCGCGGCTTCCCTCGCCCTACAAATGACTCGAACCCTTTGAATTTTAGCCGACCGAGACCAGCGAACCGGCCGCGCTGTTGTCTTTTAGCCGACTGCGTTTAAGAGGGAACGCTCGCTAAAGAGGAAACGATATAGGACGCTCATCTTTTAATGAGATTGATATTCACGATCACGATACGAATACGTTACTACATACATATGTCTCGAGGTAGAAGTGAAAAGGAAGGATCGTGGATCGAACGAAGGGTTGGTTATTGTATGGAAAAATATGGTAAGCTACAGAAGGATTAGTCGGTTCACGAATTGCATCGTCACTCTCGCGTCCAAGATATTTTTGGGTATTATTGGCTACGGTGATCGCTCACGAGGCACGCCTAGAAGCGAGACCTTATTATTATTCTATACAGTTTCTTCAACCCCTTAAAAAATTCGACTCTTCTTCTGGATATTGTTACTTAATTTTTCGACTCTCTCTCGTCCTCTTTTTTACGCTCAAGTACTTCCAAGCTATCGATCTTTGAAATTCTCCACTCCAATCGGAGTTTCAGATTTTATCTCAATTACAAGCCAACGCCAGCAAAGTGTAAAAGGTGAACTCGGAGCACCGATAAACATTGGAGGCGCGATTAGCATATAGTGGCGCCACCCCTTTCCTTTTCCGGCGCGTTTACGTCGAAAGATCGGGACGAAAGTCGGCGAGTCGGTGCAGAAGCAGCGTGCAACCAGACCAGAGGAACTGGTATTGGGTATCAATAAATCTTCAGGGCCGTACATCGGCTACCAAACGACCCCGCCCTAATTTATTCATTTGTTCTTCCACATAGGCGGGCCCTATAAGTCAACGGGGGATTAAGTCGGCCGACTATCCGACCTCTGCACGGTAGAAAATTCATAGGGTCTCCCCCTTATAACGTTCGATCCGCCGCGTTCGATTCTCGCGCAGCCACAGATCGCGATCTTCGATATCTTTTCAGATATAAATCCACCGTGTGATAAATTATTATGTTCGCGGTATTTTACTCTTGAATTATTGTTTTTGAGGCGATGGTATGGCCGTATACAGTTGAGTTTATTGAGCACATTTATGATGATAACTCAGCACTTTCTCTTTTTTTCTTGAATTTAGGCAAATTAGTTTTATTTATGGATAGATATGACTTTCTTCATTGAAACTTTTCTTTATTATATATTATATATTATATATTAAATTATTATTTGAATGTATATTGTATTTCTTTATTATATATTTTTTAATACGTATCATGGGAATTTTCGTTTTGACCCTTGATCAAATTTCTTTATATAAACGAACTTTTAGATTCAAATCATACTATCAAATTCTATATTTTCAGGTTGTGAAAATTCGAAGGCAGACATGTGCGTGGTTTGTTGAGTCGCGAGCAAAAGGCTGCCAGTGTTCCAAACGATAGTCGAAGGAATTCGCCTCGTAAGGCAGCTAGCTGTGATTCCTTCTCTTTGGTCCACCCTCGTGTGTCGGTGTTTCTCAAGCACAAGGCCGATGTCTTTTAAATTAATAAATATTCGCCGGCGTTTATTCTCCTTCCGTCGCGTCGTTTCTCAGACAAGAGTCGAAAGAGGAGAAAGAAAATGAACAAAAAACCTAGCAGAATGAGGCAGAAATCGCTCTATTAGCGATGCCAGCGTCGAAATTCCGGTTCTCTTAATTCAGTGTGGCCAATGTACCGCGACAGGGAATCGGTCGCCCGGCTTTAATCACCGAGCTTATCTGTTTCTACCTTAATGGCACTTAAATGCGAATGCCTACGCCCTTCTGGAGAAAGATTCGAAGAGGCGAATTCGGGGGTAATCTACGTTTCTGCTACTGCGGTTCCGAACGATTTCCTAAACATTCGCCGGTGGGCGACGATAATTCTCGTACAATCTCGCAACGAGATTGCCTTTTGCTCCATTTCGCGTGTCCCCTTTCAAATTTCTTGTTTATGGTTCCTCCTTTGAGTTTTTAAGAATTTCTATATTATCAGGAGAAGAATAGAAATAAAATTTAGAAATCTAGGAATCTTGCAATTTAAAATATAGGAATATGGGAATGTAGGAATCTATGAATTTGGAAATTTATGAATTTAAGAACCCCTGAATTCAGGAATTTAGGAGTTTGAGAATTAAAAAATTTAGGGACTTAGAGAAATTTGGGGATCAAAAAATTTAGAAAATTTGGGCCTTTAGGAATTTAGTCCTACTAAGCAAATATTCCTTCACACACTCGATCGGAGGTGTTCGCCGTCGCGAATATTGTAGCGATCGGGTTAAAACCGGCGTCGCTTCTTTTCGTCTCCGGGGACTTGTAACCGCGAGAAAACGTCAGATGAGATGTCCTTTATTCGTAGCGAGCATCGAGTCAGAGCTTCAACGTCAGAACGTGACTCGCAGCTCGCGTGCAAGCATGCATGGTACACGTATGTGACGTGAATAGCTGACTGTACGCGTGAGGTCCAAAGAAGAAGAAGAAGAAGAAGAAGAAGAAGAAGAAGAAGAAGAAAGTAAAAGAAAAGAGAAGCAAGAAGAAGAAGAAGAGGAGGAGGAGGAAGAAGAAGGTTACATCGGAAGACATTAATCACCCACTGGCGAATCTCTTTCGACCCTACGTCGAATACTCGCGTAAAGATATCTGTTCATCTGCGGGAATATCTGCACCCACGTGACAACCACATGACTCCAAAGACAGACAGTTTTTAGCCAGATCAATGTAAGTACTTCATTTTTCTCATTTTTCCCTAAACTTTAAACAGTATACCTGCCTATCGTTGGACTGTAGATAACTGTAGCAATTTATGTTACTATTAAAATAATTCACTTTATTTTAATTCCTCTGTCATGGAAATTAATAATAAACTTATATCAAATAACTTAACCCTGTAGAAGGGTTAATTTGATTAACAAAGTTTTTAAGACACTTCGTTCATTCTATATTCTGTGTCAACAAAGTCGAACGTTTCTCTTCCTCTTTCTCTCGCTATTGGTATCTCATTCATCAAACGAAAGCGTTCCATCATTCAGTCGCGATCTACGATCGACCAAAGGGGACAGTTATCCCTCGATCCAGAAGCAACACGAGGGATTATCGATGAATCCAATAATATTCCAGCTGATCGAACGAACGGACACCCCACTGATACAAAACCGGTGAGCGGAGCAAAAGCTTAAGAGGACGTTTCTCGACTACCACTGGCGTGCTCCTGGAAGAGAAGCGTCGTTTGTTCGACTTGCGGGGCACCTCTCGCGGAATACGCTGACATTCGTATAACAGACTATCTCGGGCACCCTGTCGAGCAGCTACTTTCAAAGGATTTTATGAACAAATCCCTTGAGATAGATTTCGGAGGGTATCATTCTGGATTATGAATGACTCGCTAAAATGCTGCCAGTGGTTTTTCGATCCCTTTGTGCTTGCGCCAGGGACCAGTTAGTCACTTTGTTTTCACGATTCTTGAAATCGAGATACAGCGTTGCTTAACATGCTCGCTTAACTTGATTGGAATTAACGCAAATCTAGTGAAATGTTTCAACAATCTGAACTGCTCACAGTCACTTACGCCCCAACGATACTATTTAGGAGTTCAAATTCACGACAGGCAGCGAGATCTAGAAGTAGAAACGAGTTTTACTTACAAGGCATAGTCGTGCCTGCAGTAGAGTCTCATTCCTCGAAGGAAACAGGAGTGTTGATCGTGCAAAGGTCTCGCACAGGCGTAACATTTTAGACATCTGGAATGCCAGGTACGACCCCCTACACAGAGGACAGTGCGCTCGCGGACGCTTTCCCCGCAACCACCGCACTCCATTTCCATGCCATCGTGGTTGTCGTTGTTGGTGATATTGCCACCAGCTTTTTTTATGCTGGCCACGTTGTTGTTATTGGCGTTGACGTTGTTGTTGTTGTTGTTCGAACAGAGGATGCTGTCCCCACAATCTGTCTCCGTCTCGATCTCCGACTGCAATTTCACGAGAATTCAGGCGAGATTAACCTTTAATTTATTGACGAGGATCACTTTACGGAAACTTTTACTCGCGAATGGGTTTATCAGGAGAAAGAAAGGTTAAGGAAAAATTAATTTGTGATTGAATCTTCATTTCCTCAACAAATCTTATCCAATCCCAATTTCCTATTCTAAAGTCGAATCGTCTTGCACGATCCATAATCAATGAATATTCGAAATCTACTTGAAGCCATTGCTAAACATATAGCAGAGGATGATCGTTTCCGGGTGTGGAGGTACGGAAAGGCTGGCTGGGGGCTCCAAATCTCAATTAATACTCGCGCAAAGTGAAATAATAAACGAGCGGACGGCCGCCGGCTGATAAATGATGCCGCTGTTGGGCATGATCCCTTCGGTTCCTCGACCACTGAGGCACGATTCGCATGACTACGCACACATCGTATCTCAAGCATCCATGCACGCGAAACCACCTTCGGGCAGCTGCAAATTTGCTCATTGTGGGATGGTGGGATTTAAGCGGAACGCGCACACCTCCTTCGTCTATCTGCGTAGCTTCCTTTTAATTGAACGCGTAACGCAGAAGATTTTGCGAATTTTCAAGCTATCTCTTCGCGTTGAAGACTCGGAAAACATCTTCGATCTATCTAGCAGATAGCTGGTGCGTGCTTCGTCGAATCCTCTTACAATTCAACTTAAGTTAATTTAATAATCTAACAATCCAGACAAGTATCTTTCTTCGGCGATTAGTTTCGATGACATTACTGTGGCGTCGTGTGATTTTTCTTTTTTTTTTTTTTTTTTCATTCAACAAACTAATTGATTGTACGCACGAGAGATATCTTGGACCTCTCGTTCGATTAATTAGCGCGTGAGAGTGATCGAGGGATCGGCAACTATAAAGAGGTTCCCCGTGAGATTAGCCGTACGAAAAACGCGAGTGTCGTCCACAGAATTTACTACGGGCGATATATTAATTTACATTGGCATAACATTCGACGATTTATCGTTCGACGATCCGAACTATTAAATTCGAAAGCTCTGCTAACAATCCCAAAACCTTAATGGGAGAATCTTCTAAGAGAGGTAGCAAGTCTTCGTATCCTCTATCGTTCCGCTAATAAAATCTCGAAATAACGCAATTAGAAAAATGGTAGAAGTAAGATTATCCGGTTAAAGTGCATTCGTTTTCTTCAACAAGTCGTTGTTCATTAGTCAAAAACCGCTTGAAACAAACCTGTACTGGAAGGGAGTTCCGAGCGCGATTAATTGACAATCGAACGACACGATGCAGCTGATTCGTTCTTCTTTTCGTCCTCTTTCCTCTCAGTCGTTGGAGGTTAATAGAGAGAGAGAGAGAGAGAGAGAGAAAGAGAGATAAATACGTACAACCAAGAGGGAGAAAAGAATGTCATTGTGAGTGCGTAGAGAGATAAACGCAAAGATAAACGCGTATCTGATCTGTATGTAATTTTTTTCTTATCTCTGTCACGGCACACGTGCTCGTGCTACACACCTGTGCCTTCACACACCAACGTGTGTATTATACGTGCGTACGTGCAAGTACACTGGAACAGCGAGTCCTGGCTTGGTTATATTAATTGGTACACGAGTAATGCACAAAGGTTATTGTTCCCCGTAGCGTGCAATCAATGAGTTAATTACCATTATGTCCTTCGAGTCACAGTCTTTTTTTCTGACCGTTGATTTATTTCTGTCTCGATATGCAAAGACTCTTCCGTTAGCCTTCTCTTGTTAGTTTTTACACCACTTTCTTCTGTGAATTTAGTATTTCTTTATAGATTAGAAGATCTTTTGTATGTTGCGAAATACTTGCTCTTTTGAACGTCAGATTTTTTTTCTTGCCGCGTATCTCAGTTTCTCGAATGTTTCTTCTGTTTCGATATAAACGTATAAACTTATCGCAACTGAGCTACTGAAATAACTGCCAAAGAAAAATTATTCCAGTGTATTTCCGATTCAAACGATTATCAAATGCAATTCGCACGAATAAGAAAAAGAGAAATAATTATAGAGAAAAAAAAGGAGCAGCACAGCCGGACAGCCGAAGAAAGACAACATCGACGACAGCCAATTTCGAAGATACTACACGGGACGTTCGTCTCTTTCGTTTCATCTTCCTCATTCTGTCCTTTCCCTTCGTCGGCCAGTAATCATTTCAGGTTTAACTGGACGGTCATTGATTTATGATCTGCCGAAGGCAAAGTTGAACTTCCCACCTGTGATTTATACCTTCTGGCATTTCGATCTTCTCTCGGAAAGCAAGCCACGTTTCTCTTCCGACGTAACATCGCGTCGATTAATACGCCGTGTCGCGCGGGATTCCTGCTTCCACTGACGCGATCCTCGTTTCGATGAAACAAGCGGAAGATCGCTTTGTCAAATAGGAAGAATAACTCTTCAAATCCAATCGAAAAGATACCTTTGTTTCAATTCGAATTTTTTACAGAAGAAATCTACGAGCATTTAATTTTAAATTTATTATTATCTTCGACTTGAAGTATTCCTCTAGCTTTCTCAAATTTTTTTTTTCTTTTGAAAACGATCGGGGAAAGAAAGTTGTGTTTTCTACCAATTATTTTTCAAGCCGCTGAACACAGTCAAATACAGTTTCGTGGGAATGGTCCCTTGAGAAGTTTTCTCTTGAGAGAATTTTAACCTGTTTGTAAACTGCCCCCTCGAGCCTCGTGGGGTTGCTTTTCTTGTGAATTCCTGTGATCCAGAGGCGCCATGGTAAAATCCATTGTGAAACGGTCACCGAAATACGAGAATGTGACCTCTCTATTCTGTAGTTTCGCTCTCCTTTTTCGTGTGTAACTTGCGTAACCAGCAAAGATATTAGAAAATTTTTAACTAGCTCACTGGAATTAAAAATGCATGACACTGCCATTTCGACTTATCGTTATTGATACAAACACAGAGACAAAAGTAAAATTTGCGTTTGAAACCACGAGACAGTGCAAAGCGACGAGCAATATTTTATGAGAAATCAACGGGAAAGAAAATTAAATAAATATTTGTATAATCTTTATTACTATTGCACATCGTGCACTTTCGAGATTTAATTTGATAGGCGAGGCGTGAAAATGTCTCGTTTCCAAACAATGGAATTAATGAGCTGCAATTACGTAACATGACGATCAATGGGGGGTTTATACAATGAATTCATCGTGCCGCGTTTATTACGCGATAATAGATATTTATGATTAAACGCGATCGAGGCTTGATAGTTGCAAATGAGCGACTTGTGACAGCGTAATATCTCAGCGTTGCAAATTATCACTAGATATACGCGTAGCTATTTTCTAGCGAATATCAATTTGAAAAGATACAAACAGGAACGTGGAATTCAGTCAGGTTAGAGTTTAATATTTTATCGCAACGTGGTAAATTCTCAACACCGTAAAAATGGTGTTCCTAAAAAGAAGAAAGCTTACATTGCCCAATAAAGTAATCTCATCAGAATCGAGTTGATTTATCTACGTTTCCATAGCAAAAAGATCAATTCCCCGAAATTCTTCGCCAATCTTTTAACTCAATTATCACACAAAAGGGATTCGCAAATTTTTGATTCGCAAACGGAACACAGAGAAGGGATCTCTGTTTGTCTTTCTCGTCTCAAAATTCGTCAATTTGATTATCACACAAGGGGCATGAAATTTTCGTCGAGAAAGTGAGAAAGAAAGAGGGAAGGAATTTTTCAATCATTCGCGGCGTAGATGCTGGAGAGAATGCAATCAGCGAGTGGTTAAGAAGAATAATAGGATTCATTTTTTATTGGTCAGCACTCGGGGGCGACGGAGATGAGCTGACAAAGTGAGAAATGCCAGGGTGAAGAGGTCAAACGGGCCTCACTACCGACTACCAGACGTCCAATATCCTCGTGCACATTCGATTCGTCATTTTCGCTACGCGAGATGGACGTTTAATGGCACGAGCGAGTACCATTCCTCGAGTGATTTATCGGCTTTATACTCTTCGTCGGCGATTGTAAATAATTTTTTGCGATATTTCAAAATTATCGCGACCGTCGCGTCGCGTCGTTCGCTCCGGGAATTTTTTTAAAAGGAAACTTTTTCTGGTCAGGCGTTCGTGGGACATTGTGTGTTCAGCGTGACGTTTATGAGTTTGACGCATAAGATGTAGAAACAGTGACAGGGACGTGATGTCGTTGAAGCGTTCAAATGAATTCATTTCACAATGAATCAGGAAGAATATGTTTGAACATTTTTTTGAAGACCACGATACGTCCAAAATACGTGAATAAATAATGATTAATTTCGATAGATTGACGGAGCAAGTTTCGCATTGAGGTTGTAAATATATATTGAAATTTTATTTAGGAAACCAAGGTAAAATACTTCAATTAGAGGGAATTTTGTATTTTATATTAGAGTTTGAAGAATTAAAAGAAGAATGCAAGAATTTTCAAATGAATATTTTTTGATATATCAGTTATTAATATTCTATTTCAATATTATTGAAAAATTTATTACGCAGTAGTTACTTACAATTTTCAATGTAAATGTTTCACCTGATATGTTTAATTAACGTACATAATTACAATGAAATACATCTGTAAGTCTGTAATTGACTATTTATATATAAATTACTTCAACTTGACGTAGTAGAAAGGCGAATATAATACTGCAATCTCCGAAACGTTTCAATTAAAGCACCCCAATTGAAAAGTCACAACCCCCAATCCACACCCCGTCGACATCTTCATCAAATCCTCGTCTACTCACCTTCATCTTCTTTAGAAATCGCTCCAAATCTTCCTCTCGACTCACAAACTCCGTCTCTTCATCCCGAGCAACCGAAAAGAAGTCACCAAATGTACCAATAATACCACATGCATGTGCTAAACTGTCAGTGGTTCATCTCTACAGTCCACAAGGTCCACAACACTTGAAAACCAAAAATTCCGCAACGCAATGGCAATGATCCGAACAGGTCCTCTTTGAAATTAATCTCAATAAGTCAGAACGCCGATCGAGGAGTCGGAAATCGAGTGAGGATCGACGTAGGATCGAGAAGGATCGCAGAAAGTGCGCTGTCCGGATCCGTAGCCCGGGAAAGACTGACATCCTCGATCCTGCCCCTTCCACGCTTTGCAATCGTCGCTACGCTCTCTCACTCGCGCATTCTCCACTCTTTCCGCTCCTGGTTCCGTGTACGTACACGCGTACGCGCATGTATCAGTGTCTGAAAGGCCAGGTGGAGGGGAATGGAGTTGCCTGACTCGGCTCGGGGTTGTTGCCGGCAGAGGAACGACGTACTTCGGGGTGAAGAACCCTGGAACGACAACCAAAGCTCCGCCTATTTTGTCACGCCCATGTTCCATCCGCGAGAACGCACCACTCACACTCGCAATGTCGTACACCAAGTGGGGGAATCACATCCCGAACGAAATTTCTGCGAGCAACGTGTTCCTCGCAGAAGGGTTGTTGCTTTCTTTTGCTCTTCGCCGCGATCGCGTCTCTCACTTTCTGTTTCTCTCCACGTACCACCTTTGTCGCCGCTAGCTTCTTCGTTTCGGGCTCTTCTCGCGAGAAGTTCTCGTAGAATGATTTCTTGAATGTTTTTCTTCTATCGCCGGGTTGGTACTTAGAGAGGGTTGTTTCTTCTTCGACACTGTGGTTTCGTTCTTCGAGCTTGTGCGTGGGAGATTGGGGTTGTTTCTTGGACCTTCGTGGAACAAATGTATCGAGTATTGGTTGAGCGTAAATTTCACACGTTTCAAAATAAATATTCTATACAAGAACGCGTAGAAAAAGAATATTAGATTCTTGGAATTTTGGAGCCTTGAGTGTTGAGAATTTTCGAGTGTTAGAATTTCGAAAACTTTGGAGTTTTGGAGTACACTGGAATCTTAAAATTTTGGAAAGTTACAATATTAGAATTTTGCAATCTCGATATCTTGGAACATTAGATCGTTCTTCCCTCTCAAATCCTCCAACTTAAAACAAACACCCAAAAATCTCGTTATCACAGTTGTTTGACCACAGTCGAAAAATATATCAAGCACTCGTCCCTCTGCCTCCAACCACGCACATAATTCAAGAAACACTCGATTTCACGGATGCGTGAATACGCGCGCCACGGCAATAAAAACTAGAGAAGAAAGGGAAATGGAACGAGGGATAGGATCGAAGACCCGTTTGACAGTTTCCCTAGGTCCCGAAACCGAAAAATTCATGTTCATTGTAGAACGTGGGCGTATACGGGTCGCTCGACTAGAAACCAACACACGCTTGCGCTACACGCAGAAGAATATGCTTTCGATAGAGGAGAGAGGAAGAGAGAGAGAGAGAGAGAGAGAGAGAGAGAGAGAGAGAAGAGTTGGAGAGGAATAGCAGTGATAAAAGGCGTTAGTCCATTCCCGGGATGATTTATGTGTCGGCGGAGCAGAAATACAAACAGGTGCTCGAACCTCCTCGAGAACCCAAACTCGTCGAAAATAAAAAGAGGAAACGAAGAAATATAAAATATGTGTCCACGCGTGTATGTATAAATATATGGCGGAAGGGGATGAGGGGACGTACGTCTGGGGGTGAAGCGTAACTAAATGGTCAACTCGCTCTTTCACCTTATTTTAAGATCGGTGGACTGGAAGACTGCGGGTCTCTGTGGAGGGAAAATTTAAGGATGCAAAAATTTAGAGAATGCACGTCAAATATCTGTTAATTGGTGAATTTTAGCAGACTTTCTCGTTTATTCGCCATTGGTTCGCTAGTATAGGATAGAAAGTAGAAAGAATTTTAAGAATTTTTTAATTATTGATAGAGTTTAATGAAAAACGGAACAACGAAGTAACAGCTACTCGAGATCTGAACACTAACGGTTTGATCTTTTGTAGAGTTTTGCCAAAAATATGACATAGAAATCGTTATTGTATTATTACCGATGGCCACGGATGAATGGTTAGAGTAATTTAGGCAGTATGCCTGTTTCAATATTGGAATTTCAATACAGTATAAATTTTTGTAAAATTTCTACTTGTAAATGAATACTGAACAAGAGAGGGAGATAACTAGGAATTCTTTTAATATCGTGATGGTATCAAAAGCTCAGTGAAAGGGCATGTATCATTTGGAATTTCATCCGTGGCACACGGGTTGTTACCTGAGTGAAAAAGCCCGCGTCTCGAACGTGACTTCGCGGTAAAGACGACAAAACCCATTGCATCCCCGTGGATGATAGAAATTTCCTCGAGTGTGAAGTACGATTCAAAGCAGAAAAGGAAAGGTGGAACACCTGCTGCGAAACCGCATGCAGATGTATTCCGGTGTTTCATATTCAAAATGAAATCCTCGGGCCGATTTGACGACGATGTTAAACAATGGAGACGCGAGAGAGAACTCTCGTAGGTTTACGTGCGACTCGAAGCATTTCTCGAAACAGAAAATACTGCTGCTCGAAATTAACAGTAGTTTAAGGCTCGTTGGATAGAATTTTACGAGGTAAACATAGAGGAACTTGTATTTTGATTGTAGAGACATTCGAGTCTAAAATTATATTTTAAATTTAGAGATTTTGCTCGTTTACAAAGGAAAAAAACGAGAAAGTCTCGAATTCTCTGAATTTATCGCGACGCCTTCACAGCCGACCTAACATTTTCGAGACAAATGCGCGTTATACGTTCCCGATGCGGTGCGATACTCCCTATTTGTTAAGATCATCGTAGGCGCGTGTTCGCACAGGTTCGCGAAACGCGCGCGTGCAGCCGCTACAAAGACTCATGTGGGTACACTATCGTTCAGAAGTATACCAACCCTTCGAATCCGGCCGAATTAATACAATAGTATCTTCGATTATGAACCTTGGATATTCGAAAAATTAGAATCTTGGACTCTTGGAATTTCAACATATTGGAACGCAAGTCTATCTTAGGGGTTTTAAAATTTGAGAGTGTGACAATTGGACAATTTAGAAACTTGGGAACTTCGAAATTTGGGAGCTTTGCAATTCGAGAATTCAAACATTTGAGGATCATCTTCGAACTTTCAAATATCAGCATCTCAGAACACTCTGATCTACGTTTGAATAGTGGAATCCCGTTTGTTCCCAGTTCTTTAATTGGGATCTCGCTTTATCGACTGTGACCAGGTATATTCGGTATACTTTTGAACGGTAGTGTAAGAGTGCGTAAAACGCGTTTACGCGTGCAAGAACCGGCAACGGACTGTCCCAAGGGTCTTGGCGATCGGCAGGGAACAGGGCCATTAGTAACGCTTATCCGGTATAAAGCGAGAAAAATGGCGGTCGAATTATTTCGCTAGTGGGAGCGAGGCTGGACAAAGGTCCTACCTTGCGAGGACACGCGGTGGATCCTTGGAAAAAGGAGCCACGGGGTTCCAGCGATGCCGATCCTGGCAAAAGGGGACAAGCGGGCCGTATGCGTCGTGGCGGCACTCTTCTGTCGCATTAATCGATACCATCGAGAATCCCGTTCGCGATCGATGTTCCCTTTCTCCTTCGGAATCGTGTATGTATCGACGATCATGGTCCTTGGATTTTTAGCGTGTGTGCGACATTGTTGCTCAGTTGTCTTCGATTAGGCAATTTAATACATTACAAAACACGTTACACGTAAATTTACGAAAGGATCTAACAATGAACACTGTTTAGCAATAGCAAGTTCCATAAAAATGGTAAATGTCCAATTTATTTACTTTTGAATGATGGTGTTTATTAGGGGTGTTCTGCACAATTTTAGTTTAAGGATTATTTCCTTTCCAATATCAAACCTATAGTAAATATCTTCTTCCACTAAATCAGATATCTTTCTAATAAAAAATTCATCAACTGTACCTGCTTACTTCCAACTCAGCGAATGTAACCTGAAAAAAAGAAAAAAATGCTACGATCTTGTGGAATACGTGACCAGGTCGAGGCCAGGTTTATCAGCGTTCCATTTAACGTCAAGTGTTTCGTATAACGTAACCGTGAAAGAAAGTCGGCTGCCGTGTCGCTGGATTTTTTAACAGGAGTTTGCATGTTTGCACAGCAGGTGGTTTGCCGCGAGTGACACGTCAGGCTGCTCACTCGAATTTGTATTCTTTTATGGAGTATCGAGGGCTACGCGACAATAGTCGCTTTCAAATTCGAACAGGTCCCTTTGGATCACTTTTATTATGATAATCTCGTTTGGACGTCGGGAAATTCCTGGGAAAATATTCGGTGAGAAACCGCGAGCCTCTTTTTTCCGTTCTCGGGAAATGTAGTTGACGTTGTTAATTATTTACGCCTAGGTAGAGCGAGAGAGTGAGATTTCAAGTGTATTTGAAACGAAGAATAGAAATTTGGTGAAAAAGAATGGAATTTTGGAGTATTGGAATATTGAAAAATTAGTATCGTAGAATCTTGGAATATTAAAAACAGATTTCATTTTATTTTAAACATTGGAAGAAAATTTCTGAAAATTCCTTAAATATCCTCCACCTCGATTCCACAGCTTTCCAATTTTAATTCTCGAAACTTTTAAAAATATTCTAATATGGCGTCTGGATGCAATTATCTTCGCCCCGAAAAACATTTCAAAACCAGAAAACACTCTGTCTTCGCAACATCTTCAACTTTCACGTCACTTCCACTCGAATCAACCGTCAGAAACCGAAATTTTGCTTCTCCGTTATTAGTGATTGAATTGCTCGACGTAAGAACATAGCTAAAGAAGAAGAAGAGCAGTAAGAAGGGAGACTTTCGAACTCTCTCGATCAAGGAGAAAAATTTCGCGAAAGCAGGGAATCTCTTTACTCTCTGAAAGTACTTACTTACTTCGTCGCGTCAAAGGAACGACAGGATGATACAGCTCGCGTAGAAGCGGAACGAGGCAGGAGAGACAGACAGGCGGGAGAGAACGAGAGAGAACGTTGCGCGCGTCGAGGGGGTGGGTTTCGTTAGGTCGGGCGCAGTTTTGATGATAACGAGCGGATTTGCAATCACGACTACATTGTGCAGGATCCTGCTGTTAGCTAACTTGAAGAGGGATGAAACTCAGACGGGCTGAGATCACAGAGCAGGAAGCTGAGAGCGTGACGTAGACGAAGGATGAGAGATACG